TTTGAATAGGAGTTGAGTGGACGAATGTGCCAAATCTACCACGCTGATCATGGCTGAGAGTAGATGCCCATAAAGAAAAAAGATGGATGCCCATAAAGAAAAAAGATGGAGAGAGAGTAAAGAGAACTTGGGGTGCTATAATCAGACAAAATGCATGAGAGACAGAAAAATGTGAAACCACCTTTCAGTGTTTTGAAAAATGATCAGGTTTGAATCTATCAATATGAATCAAATAGGACTATCCTGAACAGAACTTAGAACTACTGTAAAAACAGTCTTTCAATGACACCAAATAATCAGTGTCTTTTGGGTTTCTCAATTGTCTTTTTTTTCCCTCTATTGAAATTCAGGTATATTAAAAGTTATCTTGTTTTATTTGGGTAGTAAACAGCCCAAATTGCACTGACATTTAAAAATAGGTGTTTATGTCTCATTCAACCATTTGTGGTTTGACTGTTTCGGTTGATATAAGCTGGACTTGCCTTCAGACCACAGAGTCAGCTCAGATTTTGTTTTTTGAAAATTATTTTGCTCTCTGAGCACTGAGCTACCAGGTTCATTCACTTCTCATAGCAGAGATTAGCAGCTGGAACCTGGATCACCATACAGATGGGAGGAATCAAAGTGATATAAAGTCTCAGGACATAGACCAGAGGCACACAATTGGGAGGAGAGGCAGAGGGGTTGCAACCGGGGAGGGAAGAACTCAGAGACCATTGCGATGGCCCAAGGGTTTGTGGTGATGGGAGAACTACGTGGACTGTACCTGAAGGGAGAAAGCATATATAGTCCAAAAATGAACAAAGATAAGAAAATAATTATAAGAAATCATTTTTAAAAATTTAGGATATGAACATTGAAACCAGATCATTTGAATGTAACTCTAACTGCACCCTATTAACCCCATGACTTCATTACATGAATTTTCTGGCTCAGATTTCTTTCTTATAAAATATGATGAAAATAGTATCTTATAAATTATAGTTATTTGCAAATATGTTGAAAAACACTTGAAAAACATAGTTTAGTGAAGTTAAAAACTAAACCCCCACTCTTGGCCCTGCAGACAGATCTGGGAGACTTGAAATGCTAAGGGGATGGATAAGCCTGCCTTGGGACAAGGCCACAAAACCCACCACCATGACCAGAAAGGCCATAAAACCCACCATCATGACCAGAAAAACCAGAGACAAGGACATGTTTCAGTGACCAAGTCCTGTGCCAGACTCCAGGCATCTCAGCAGATAACTGGTGCAAACTGGCCCCCCACGTTACAAAACCTGCGAAAACCTTTTCTCTGTCTCTGGTGAATTCTACACACCTCCCCCTTTCCCTCACCTTAAGGCCTCACCTTGATCTTCTCCCCACAACAAAAGGTAAGAAAAGCAGGGTCTCCCTTGTGGCACAGGTGGTTGAGCACAGCACTGTGAAGCTGTCCACAGTTTCTGCAGTAGGGGTTCGATTCAGGCCAGCCAGGGATATACCCACATGTCGCGGCAGACCTCTACAGTCTTGCCAGCTGCTCCCCTCAGCAGTGTATTTCAGTGAGTCTGCCTGTTCTGTCCCCCACTCTGTTCTCTCACCCTTCCACAGCTCTTGCCTGTACCCCGGTTCTTGTATACATAAATATATTTTTTAAAAAAGTAAGAAGAGCAATTCTGGCCACATAAGCATTCACTAAATCACATTTATTTTTCCTGAAAACCTATGATTTAGTTTCATCACCTGACTTTTTTTTGAAAATAATTATTGAAATATACTATGTTCAGTAAAAAGCACATATATAAATAAAAATAAAAACTTAAAAAAATATTTGTTTTTATACTTATGCATGCAAGAACTGAGGTGTAGGCCAGAGGAGTAGGGGCAAGAGGATCACTTGAGACAGAGTGGGGAACAGAACAGGTGGATCTACTGAAACTCACTGCTGAGGGAAGAAGCGGGCAAGAAGGAGAGGTCTTCTGAGACTTAACCTGAAAAGGGTATTCTTTGCTTCTTATTGAGTTCCAATTCATGCACCTTTCTTAGGTCACTGGATATTTTCACAGCTAGAAAGTCACAAATTATATATGCATGCATATGTTTGTATATATATGTATGCATACACACCCCCCTGTATGACTATTTATATATATATATATATATAAAGAGAAAATTATAGTTACTCTTAATATTTTGAGTAATTTGTGAGTCTTTATATTGTTTGACCATAGAGTTCATTCTCACCAGCACTTGTTTCTCATTGTTTTTGTTATAGAGCTCTCACAGACATGAGGATTTATCTCCTTGTGGTCTTGATTTGTATTTTGATGATAATGATTATTTTGTCATGCACCTTCAACCTGTGTTTTAAAAGTATTTTTTTCTGCTCTCCCAATTTTTGGTTCAGTGAGAATTTTGAAAGTTACCTTTAAGTTCCCTTACATAGGGCTTCCCTGGTGGGCACGGTGTTAAGCACTGCACTATGAAGCAATCCACAGCCTCTGCAGCATGAGTTTGATCCCAGGCCAGCTAGGGAGCAACCCACATGGCACATCAGACCTCTCCTGACTCGCCTGCTGCTCCCCTCGGCAGTGTACTTTGTCAATCTGCCTGTTCTGTTCCCCACTCTGTCTCTGGTGAATCCTCTCACCCCACCCCACCCCCAATTCTGGCCTGTGCTCCAGCTCTAGTATGCATAAATAAATATTTTTTTTTAAATGAATAAATCTCCTTACATGAATACACTTAGATTCCTATTAAAACACAATTATAATTGGAGGATGAATGAATGAATGGTGGTAATATTTCAGTCACTGGAATGATAATGTGGCTTAATCTTTTTTCATCAGTGGAAATCTAAATAACTTATTTATGAAGAATAAAATTGAATGCAGGAATTTTCAGACTAGGGAAGAGATGTTGAGAAGATAAGTTGGTGTTGATCTTTGTTATAGTTATAGAAAATTTGAAAATGTTGATTTTTTGGAATAATTAGTGACAAACACCATTAAACACCCATTGATAATGGAATAATAATATTAATGTTCCCATTGTAATATAAATTATATAAATAGGACATAGGGTAAAAGTGTATAATGTCAAGATTTATGAATGTTGCTTTATAGTAGAATTTACACATCTAAGACAGCCTTAACAAGGCCTAAGTTTTCAGCATTTATGGTTACTATGGAAACAAGTTACAAGCATGGGTGTTCAAGTCTTTGTTCCCTGATATATTTCAGAGGCATTTGAAAATGGAAAAATAAATGACAACTATAAACCCATCATCTCCTATAGTCTGCAGGTGTGTGATGAGGTGAACTGTGTTCAAAATAGCCCAAGTGTAACAATTTCCTGTTCAAACTGCTAGTGACACATTAATGAGAAATCTACTTTTTCCACTCTTGCTTCACTCTGAAACTTCACAGGGCAGTTCTAAAGATCACAGATCAGAGATCAGAACAACAAGTGTGATCAGAAACAAGTGCTGGTGAGGATGTGGAGAAGATGGAATCCTCTTATACTGCTGGTAGGAATGCTCTGTGGTCCAGTGTCTGTGAAAATCAGTATGGAGGTGTCTCCTTCTTCACTCAAGGATGCACAACTTCCTCGCCAACAGAAGGTATGTGTTGCTCCTCTCCTCTCTCTCTGCTGGTCCATGTCTTTTAGTGAAAGTTTTTGAAGGTTAGATGTGAGGTAAGTGATATACAGTTCATGTGCAATCAAATCAAAGAGAACATTGGTATCTTTGTTTGAATAATTCAGGAAAAACAAAGATGAATATTCCATAAAATGCTATTTTGAATTTAAAAGTATACAAAATGCTTTAAAAAAAAAGCATTGTACAAGAACCCATACTAATAAAACAAACTCCAGTCTAATGAATTAGGTTACATGGTATAAATGTTATGAAATGGGAAAAACATGGTGGGTGTATCAAAATAATAATTAAAATAAGGCATGTATTATTGACAGTTGAGAAAAGTGAAGTTGAGTATCATATTTTAAATGTATTATATCTTAGATATTCCTGTTTTCATTTTAGATTAGTAAACTAAAACTATGTTGAAAGACTACAAATTTTTCTTTTTCCTTTTTCTTTTTTACTGAGTGAAAATTAAAATGTGATAGTATCAAAGTCAGAATTAATTCTCAATCCTACTTATTACAGAGTCTATTGAGTGAATCACTAAAATTATGATTTTTAATTTATTGCTATTGCTTGCACAATTAAGACACCATTCATTCACTTGGATAGTTATCGGGTCTTTCTGGAAGCTTGAATCAATAATTAATGAACCAATAATGTACATATCATTTTATTTTTTTTTATCTAGCTAGTAAATCAATTACCAATTTCTTGTATTACTTAAAATTATGTATTTTTAAAATATTTTTTGTAGTTCTGTTTTCATTATTGATTTATGTTTTGGACAAGCTAAGCATACCATTAACAAAATTTCTTTAAAATTTAAAACTTTCTCAGCATATCACAATAATGAAAGAACATATTTGAAAGAAAAATAGCTTGAGATAATTTAATAACAACTCATCCCCTTTTAATAAATAGCAATAAATTACTAAATAAAAATTAATGTAGGAAATGCTAACACTGCTATTTTCCAAATTAGAACATTCCATCTTTAACCATTAGTTTTAAAAATTGACTTAAAAATTATTGCATCATTTTTTTCTAAGCCAGTATTCTGATTTCAATACAGTTATACAAGTGATGCTAAGAGGCTGCTGTGGAATATGACTTTAAATTAATAAAGATAATATGGGTCTTAAACTTATTTTTGATTAAATTTTTTGCTTTTCGTTTTTCCAACCAATACTATTGTGTCAGCATGGAATATCTTTTTAAAACTACTTTTTATATCATGAAACATATGTTTAAGTTTCCTAGGAGTTTCTAATTTTAAATTTTCTCACTGAGGTAATATCTGTTTACATTATTGTCTGTATGCTGCAGTGATGGGATCCGCCTCTGGTGATACTTCCTTAGTGCTCTAGGACTTCAGACCAGACAGTGTGTTGTTCAACTGCAATATGAGTCTGTCACTCAACTTACTCTCCGCCCACAGTGTTCTGGTCCTATGCACCATTTATTAAGACTGAGAAGCATTTGTCACAGAGCACAGCTCCTGACTTTACAGAGCAGCAGAGATGAACGAGCAAAAAGTCACCTATGCAGAGCTGAAGCTGCCAGGGGTCTCAAAAAGACCGCAAGTGAATCCTAAAAAGAGTAAAATCTCAACTACTGGAACGGAGCAGGGAGTAACCTACGCAGAATTAAGTCTTCACAATGCTGCTCGGGATCCTCAGGAGAATGGCAAGTCCTGTCACCTCAAAGGTAAAACATTGAGTAGACAGACAGCACAACTGTTCTGGGAGATGCAAAGGGGTGGAGGTTCACAAAGAGTAGGGAATAAACCGACATACTTTTCATTTGTGAGGCTGAAAATTTGGCATTGGGATATGGTATTCTAGAGGGAGTCTGATGGCAATTTTTTCCAGATAGTGTTATAATTTGTTATCGTTGACAAGCAACAATTCATGGTTGTTTTGTTGACTAAAATAGGAATGGTATACTCTGGGGGAAAGTTTCCAGTGGGAGAAAGAGGTCTGGGGTCCAAATTTACAAATGTGACTCCCTGTGCATGTAGATTTTGTTGTGTGCAAACTGAACAACTGTCTCCATCTGTCCTTTCTCAGCGTTTCCATTTCTCTCCCTGCAGGCTTAGCAGCACCTCCAGAGAAGTGCGTTGCTGGGATCTTGGGACTCACCTGCCTTGTCTTGATAGGCATTATTGTGCCCGTGTGGGTTGACACCCGTAGGTAAATTTATGAAAGATTTTAATGGAACTTTTCACTTAATGATTGCCAGTGATTTAATTATTTCATAATATTAAGGAGTAGAACTATTTTGTTAATGTATTTGTTTAATTAAATGTTGTAAGGTTAATCTCACCTTCTCAAAAGTACAAATATACAGAATGATTGTTCAGATTACATTATGTGGATTCAGATATCATGATTCAAAGTCACACTTTAGGAGACTGAAAACTATAAAGTAAATTTTGAAGTTTGGTAAATATATACTGTAAGAGATGGTGAAATTTGACTATAAATTTTTGTGACATTTTCCCCAAGCTTTATTTTTTTTATTAATTGTCCAGATTACTTTATGTAGATTCAGATTTCATGATTCAAATTCACACTTTAGGAGACTGAAAACTAAGAAATAATTTTTGAAGTTTGGTAAATATATACTGTAAGAGATAGTGAAATTTGACTCTAAATTTTTGTGATGTTTTTCCCAATCTTAATTATTTTATTAATTTTCAGGGAAAGTCAATCCTCTTTTATTACAGAAAGTCTTCAAAATACAACATTTCTAACTTAGAAATATTATATTGATTAACACTCTTAATTTTTATAAGGATTATTTTATTTTTTCTAGATCTACTGAAGAACAAGAGAAGAATGATTCCTCCGCAGTAACAAACATCCAGAAAGGTACACAATGATTTCCAAAATTCTAATGTTAGCACAGTTTATATTATGTATATATGTTAGACTAGGTAATAATGGTAATAAATTTTCTCTTAGAACATACATTATAAAATCAAATAATACATATTCATGAATAAGGATAATAGCAGGGGTTCATCCTATCCAACAGCAGAAGAAAATTAACTTAGTGGGCTCTGGACACAGAGATCCCTGTTCTAAAATTGTGAGTCAGGAGGGCACAACCCTGTGCCCGCAGTCTGCCTCTGTGGTGCCTGGATCCCCCTCTGGGCTCCAACTGGCAGTCAGAGGGGGCCTGGGTTGCCAGGGCATTTCAGCTCAGCTCTGGCTGAGGGACAGCCCCTTCTCAGTTTCATACAGTCTAGGTAGGTTCAAGAAAATTAACTTAGAACTTTCAAACCCATGTGGCCAGTTGGCTCACATCCTGCTGCTATTATATGTAATAGATAATTTTAATATTAAAAAATAATACCATTTACTCTTTGTCAGGACATTTAGGTGGATATTTTTGTGTGACTTTGGTTCATATGGACACATAAATTATAGCATGAGAAGATGACCTTTCTCTGTGAGTGTGTGTTGTATGTGCCAGCTGTGAGGTATGTGCATGTGTTATGTGCACGATTCTTCATATTTCGGCATGTATATGGTATGTCTTATTTTATTAAACCAAATAGTTTTAGGTAATTACTCATAATTTCCCTTCAGCATGTCATTGTGGCCCTTGTCCAAAGGGGTGGTTTAAGTACTCCAACAACTGCTATTACTTTAGCGCTGAAAAAAAAACCTGGAAGGAGAGCGTGACAGCCTGTCAGAGTAACAACTCTCAGCTGCTCTACATAGACACTGAGGAAGAAATGGTAAGAAATTCATTGTTCCAACCACATTATTGAAGACTTATTTCATTCAATTTTGTATGTGTAGAACTCATAGATTTTTGGACAAATTTGTAGTTTATTTTAAAGTTTGTGTAATATTCCATTGTCTGATATTGAGGATTTTATAAAATCTTTGGTAAATGCACATTTAAAAACCCACTTCTTGGCTGGCTTTCTTAGAGAACCATTTTTCCTATATATGTATATGTGTGTGTGTGTGTGTGCATGTGTATGTGTGTATGTGTTAAAGTTTGCTGTTTAATACACATCAAGAAAGACAAGCATATTGTGATCAGGCAGATTAATCACCAAGTGAATGAAAATTGTGTCTGCAGAGCAGATCCTGTGTAGAAGTCCCAGCCCCCAGTGCACCCCAGATACCCTGTCTCTCTCTCTTCACTCCTGCTATTTAGCCACTGACTTGACTTTCAATTTCATAGATCTTTTTTTCTTGTTTATGAACTGAAATGCAAACACTCCCCTATAATTCCTCAATAATTCCTCTGCATATTGCATTTATCTACTGTTTGCTATTTTTCACTGCAGAATTTTATCATATTATATTTTAAAATCCATTCTGCTTAATGTGTCAGGTGCCCAAAGTGAGTGTCATCTTCTCAGAATAAAGAAACTTTCAGGGTTCAGTATTTTCAGTCATAGGAACCCCTTAGTTGTCCCATCTTCACCTTCCCAGCCCTGCTTTTGTGTTCCTCTGTGGTGGGATGTTTAGTGTGTCCTGGCCGCTGACTGTTGTCACTGTCATGAGGCATCACTCTTGTCAGGCTGCCCTGCTGTTGCTGCACAGGACCCCTCACCTCAGGGGAGGAATGGTTGCCCTGAGCCTCCTTCTTTTGTAGGTTGGTGGTGACAGGCCTCAGGCCTAGGTAAGATTTTCCTTATTCACATGACAAGAACAATGAAGTTCCTAAGTATAAATGTTTAGGAGCTCATGTACTGGTGAGAGTTTTGGCTTCATGTCCACAGCTGTCAGCATACTGTGTGTATTGGTGAGATTGGAATCTGTCTCTTCCTTCTGAAAATGTAGAATAATTTGAAAGATCACATTACTTGTTTATTTTTTTTTTTTTAATGAAGGCTTTCATCATTCCTATGTAAGTAAAAAATCTTTATGTTTGAATAGAAATTGATGAACTCCATATCAGTGTTTTCATGGATTGGAGTCTACCGTAACAGCAGCAGTGACCCATGGATATTTGTAAATGGGTCAACTTCCCATTTAGAGTAAGTTTTATTTAAATAATGTTATAGTAACATTAAAAATGTGATCGTTTCTTGATTTGCCCCAACATTATAGAACTTAAGAAAAGAAAGATATGAAAATGATTAAAAGAATAATGATATTAGTGCTTTTGATTTAAATTATAGACATGAAGAATGGTGTTGAATGTGAGTGGAATCTTGGGAATCTTGATATCTATTGAAGAAAGGACAGTTCAGTTTGTCTCACTAATAACTCTTACAAATATTCTATAAAAATTGTCTTCATTCACTTTCAAAATATGCTTGTATTGCAATGAAGAGTAATGCTATTGTTTCTTGGTTTGCCCCAACATTACATAACAACAGAATTATGCCCTTTTCTTCATTACAGGATAAGAAAACCAGCATTTTCTAACTACCACTGTGTTATGCTACAATCTAAATATTATGCAGATAATTGTGAAGTTCTAAAGATGTATTATTGCAAGCATAAGATTTAAATTAAAATAAAAAATGTAAGTTTGGATTTGTTTGCATACTTTTCCATTCAAGAAATAATTCTTATTATTCATAATATGTTTTTGTTCTAGTGGCATTTTTCTAAAATAATTACTGAAATACACTATGTTCAGCCAGAGTACAGATAGTATTACTTTAGTGCCTGAACTTTTTTGCGGTGTTCAACCTTCAAAAAGATCATTTGTGGGCCTCCCTGGTGGCACAGGGGTTAAAAACAATGCTATCAAGCTATCACCAGCCACTGCAGCATGAGTTGGATCCCCATGGACCAGTGAAAATCCACATGGCACAGCAGACCTCTCCTGTCATGCTCGTTGCTCCCCTTAGCAGTGCATTTCACTAGATCTGCCTGTTCTGCTCCCCCCTCCATCTGTGGTGAATCCCCTCACCTCCTGCAACTCTGGCCTACAGCCCAGTTCTTTTATGCATAAATAAATAAGTCTTTAAAAAAATCATTTGTTGTGTGAGTCCAGTTATAAGTGACGGCAAATTCACTTTCATACAGCATGTGGATTGGGGGTTGCCGGGGTCTGAGGGGAGGTGGTATGAGGAACTGGCCACTGATTAGTTCTCTGTTTCTTTTTGAAGTGATGGAACTTTTTTAGTGCTAAGAATAGTGATGTTTGCAAACTCTGAACGTGTTAAATGTCTTTGATTTATTTACTTTACATGGCTCAATTTTATGCTTTATAAATTATATCTCAATAAAGTTGTTTTTAGAAAAATCTGTGATGACATTTGAGAGCATTTAATATTTAAAGTAATTTGGAGTTTAGTCATCTTTACCGTATTTATTTTTTCAATCTACATCAACCTTAATCCTTCCTGAAATTTGATTTTTTTCTCATTATGCCTTGTTTTTACAAAAGACATAGAGAAACAATGTTATTATGCTTTAGTATATACACTTTATTTACAAAGGTCTAGAATATCTTTTAGCAATTTTTGGTGTTGTAAAAAGCAATACCACTGAAGTTGGTATTGAATTTATATGTAATGTTTTTGCTGACTTTATATATTGATTCTTTCAATCAATATGACTCTAGTATAAGAATATATGAAGTATAAATTTTGATGTAAATAGTTATTTCTTATAAACAATCACACTCTTTTCCTTCTTTCCAAGTGTAATTACTTTTTTAGTTGGCTTTTTACAGACCAGAGTTTTATTTCCATTATTGAATAGTAGTTACCATGATTGATCTCTATGTATTCCCATGTTAGGGAAAAGATTTCAATATTTATTCTTATATATGAAGTTTATTGTTACTTTTTTCATCATCACTATCCAATTAATGTCATGCCATCACATTCTCATTTTTGGTATTATGTTTTTTATTCGTTTTGCATCAATTGAAATGAGAAATGTTTCTTCGTAAAATGTTTATGAAGTAAATTATCTTTATTCCTTTCAAGTATCTAAATCATCTTGCATTTTTGCAATAAAACTATAGCAATCATTCTGTGTGTTCTTTTTTTCTTTTTTTCTTTTTTTTTTTTTTTGTTGGACCCTCGCTGGCTGCCGGGGAATGAACCGGCTCTGCAGAGGCTGTGGGCAGCCTCGCATGCCAGCGCTCAACTGCTGAGCCACCAGGGGAGGCCCTGTGTGTTCTTTATCCATGTATATATTTGATTTAGATCAGCACATTTTTCTTTCTTATTCACAAAAAGTTTAGACTAAGTTTTAATTCAGAGGTGTACATTAGACAGTTTTTGAATCAAGTCTACATTAGTAAGGATTCCTGTTTTTCTACTACCTGGAATACATTAGTATTTAAGTGTTACTTCACTGTCGATATCATCTGACCGTATAAACCTATTTTAGGGGAGTTTTATGTTAAAACTCAGTAGCTCTAAAACATGCAGTTTCTTCAGGTAGAAGTATTTGCTATACAACTTTTTGGTGATTACATTTTCTACAAATTTTCTATTTCATATAGGCATAAAATGTATTCATAATATCGGCTTATTGTCTGGTATACCTACTAAAAACCATAATGGGGGCGTTCCCTCATGTTGCAGGGGTCAGTCTCAGTGCTGTCAGACAATCCCCAGCCACCACAGATGAGTTAGATTCCAGGCCAGGGGCAAACCCACTTGGAGCAGCAGACCTCTCCTCTCTTGGCTGTTCCTTCACTCAGCAGTGTATTCAGTAGTCTGACTTCTCTGCTCCCCACTCTATCTCTGGGAATCCTCTTACCTGGGTCACCTCTAGCCAACAGCCCTTTATTTGTATGCATAAATAAATAAAATAAATCTTTTAAGAAAAACAAAAATCATAATGGTTTCTCATGCATAATCTAGGTATAAAAGACTTAGGTTCTCAATTGTTTTCTTCAATAGTGTGATTGTTATTTTTTACAATGAGAATACATATGCTTTGTTCATGTTCCTTAAGAGTTTTGTTCTTTGTCATTTGTTAGTGTTATTTATTTTTTCTTCTATTGTTTCAGACAAATTTTACTTATTTTTTGCTTTGCCATTTTCATTTTCTTGGATGTATGATCAGATTTCTGCCCTTTCAATTTGAGTGATATATATACATTTAAGGCAATCTGAATCCAAAGATAGAACATTACTTTCATATTTTCCTTTGAATTCATGTGATGTTATGACATATATTTTGATCATCTCTTTGACTCATAAAATAAATAGACATATCACTGTATTCAAAATCATGCAGGGATTTCATATTTTATGGTTACTTCTATTTTAGGTGAACTCTCGTAGAATTTTCTTTGAAGCTAGAATGTCTTACATTTCTTTTAATAATGGCTAGTGTGACTTTGTCTTTTAAAAACCTACTTTTTCTGTCCCCCAAATTTTGCTTAAATAATATTTTAAAAAAATCAACTTTTTCCCCATAACAGTTAGGGTTGGACTATTGTCATATTTACAACAAATATTCCTATGAAAGTATAGACATTTTGTAAATAATCACTCTTGTTGATTATGTTATGATTAGGGCATGGATTATTAAAAAAGTATGAGAAATTATTTAATATTTCAATCATGGAATGATGATATAATTCAATAGTTTTGAAAAATTTATCATGTCAAGAGACAATTTTTATCAGTGGATATCTAAATAACTGTTACATAACTGTTACAAATTGAAAAACTGGCTGCTGAGAAATAGAGAAGAAAAGCTTGGGAGCTGGTGATCAAGGAGATATTGTAATAAAGTTGAAAATGCAATTCTTCAGAAAATTAGTGACATCTTAATTAATATATATTAGTTAGGGGGTTATGGTTTTAGAACGTTTCCATAAAATAGAATTGACATATGAGAGTATAAGAAAACAATATGTAATGCCAAGACTCAGCAACCTTGTCTAGCAGTGAAACATTCGATAGACAAAGTTTTTGTGTTTGTGGTTTAGATGGAAGCAATTTGACAGCAAATATTGTTAAGTCTTTCATCCCCTCATATCTTTTAGAATGGGAACACAATTTCTTAAAGGCAATGGACAAAATTGACAAAATAAATGACACACTACAAGTTCAGTCTCCTCTGCTCTGGAGATGTGTGATGAGAAACTGCCCTCACAATAGCTAGGATTTCCTGTTCAAGTTCTAAGTGACACTTTGACAAGAAATCTACTTTTTTCCAGTGTGGCTTCACTCTGCACCTTCACAGGAGAGTCTGTGTAAACCACAGATGTTGTTTGTTTGTTTCCATGAGTAACCAGGTCTCCCACTAAAGGATACTCCACTCTTTGGCCAAGAGAAGGTATGTGTTCCTCCGCTTCTGTCTCTCTACCAGCTCACTTCATAGATCACACATGCAGTATATGATGCAACAATTGATATGAAATCAAATTACAGAGAACTTTTGTATCTTTATTGAATAATTCAGGGTGGGAAAATAAAATAAAAATGAAACATATTGTAGATTATCTTAAATATTCAAGTATTTTACTGTGGAGAATTACTCAAGTGCATATATACAAGGATAATTGGGTTTTAAATCAATACAGTGTTATCTGAAATCCCATAAGCATTGTGACACAGAACAGCTTATTTTGGAATTTGATCTAAACATAGCCAAAAATATATGAAACAGTATAGAGACTCCTGTCTAAGGAACTATGTCATATGGTCTAACTGATACGAATCAGAAATAACTATGTCAGTTTGTGAGAACAATAATTAAAATAACTTACTTTGAGAGCTTACAAAAGGCAGGTTAAATGTTAGGGGTTTTACATTGTATCTTATATGTTTTTATTCCAGTTTTAGATTTGTAAGCAAAATTAGTACACTTTATGTAAATTTGGTAGGTTTCAAAGCCAGAATTAATTTCAGATTTCGTTCTGTGTGGAGCTCAATTATTCAAGTATTAAATTGCATTTTCTGATTTTATTACAATTAAAATCCTTCTGGAAGTTTGAGCTAACAGTTGCCCCTTGAAATATTTTTATCATTTTTTTTTAAATTTTGTATATTTTCCATTCATTCATTTACCAACTTCTTGTATGAAATAAATGACATTGCAAAATATTTGAATTGTCAATATTGTTTAGGATTTCAAGAAGTTAATGTCATATATTCTATATGATAAATATTCCGAATATTTTAATGGTTTCTTAGAACCCTACAATATTTTGAGAAAAATATCATATGTTAACCTCTGTCCTTTTTAATAATAAATGTTTTTCACAATATAAAGGTAATTTAGAGTTGGAAATTAATACAGATTTAACACAACCATTACTATAGAATATCAGTTTAATTATCAATATATGTAACAATTGCAAAAGTTAGCATATCATTTTCTAATACAGCACTTTAACACAGTTATTCTGATAGTTTCAAAATGTTGTGTACAATGATGTTTTAAAATTAGTATGGATGTTATTATTTGTGGGCTTTATGTCATTGATATTTGGTCTTCAGGTCCCCCAACCATTAGAATTGTGTGAAAAATAAAATAGCATTTTTGAAAATTATTTCATATTATGTGACACATTTTTTAGCTCTAAGGAAATTTTAATCTGATCGTCCATTATTCAACTGCAATAGGAGTTTTTTTTATTCTGCATCCTCCCCCCATGTGACTGTACTAGGGATCTGGTCATCATGCGCAGTGCTTAGTAAGGACTTGCCTGCTGCTATTGGAGAGCACCATCCCTGATTCTACTCAGCTACAAGGATGAATGACCAAATAGAGAACTACCCAGAACTGAATCTGGACCCAAGAGGACAGCCAATGAAAGGTAAGGACACATAAAGCTCCACTTCATCAACAGAATAGCAAACAAACTCTGTGGAATGAAATCTTCAAAATACTTTTCAGGATCTTCAAGGGAGTGACAAGTACTACGTGTGCAAAGATAAAACTTTTAATAGACATGCATGTAGCTGTTCTGGGCTATATGATTGGGTTGGTGGTGTGCAGTAAGAGTGGGAGATAAGCTCACATAGTTTTTCCCTGTGAGATTTGGAACTTGAAATATGACTATGTCATTCTAATCTGAAATGTGAGGATGAATTTTGATCCTGCATTGTTGGAAGCTGGAGTCTTTGACAACATCTCATTGAGCATTATGTTTTCTGAAAACACAACATATATTCTGGGGCAAGTTTACAATGGGAGATGTGGACTTGGGATCCAACATTTTAGACGTGACTCCTTGTGCAGGGGGGTTTTCATGTCTGTAAACTG